GTGCTTGTTTTGTGCACGTGTGCTTATGTGTTTGTGTGTGCACACGTGTGCTTATGTATCTCTGTTTGTGTATGTGCAGATGTGCTTAAGTACATGTGTTTGTGTGCACATGTGCGTGTGTGTGTGCACATGTGCATGTGTGCACATATGTGCTTATGCATGTGTGTTCATGTGTGCACATGTACTTATGCATGTGTTTGTGTGCACACATATGATTATGTATGTGTGTGCACACATGTGCTTATGTATGTGTGTTTGTGCACATGTGCTTATGTGTGTGCATGTGCACATGTACTTATGTATGTGTTTTTGTGTGCACATGTGCTTATGTATGTGTGTGTTTGTGTATGTGTGGGTATATATGTGTGAGAAAGAGGAGAAGTCTGGCACAGTTGAGAGAGAGGTTAGCAGGCGTGGCCCCTGTGGAGATGCACAATAGCTTGATGCAGGCCAAATGGGAGATTGAGGAAGGGATGAGCTAAAGAGACCAGGACCAAGCATGGTGCTGGTGAGAGGAGACAGGGCAGGTCCAGAAGGCACCAGAGGCAGAGAGCACTTGAGAAGACTGAGACCTCAGTCCAGAGCGTCCTTCGGTTTCAGATGGGCTCCTCTGGCCCCCATCAAAGGTCTCAGTGGAGGGGACTCAGCTCTCTGCACTCTGCGGCCTCTGCATTTGTGAGAATAACATCATGCCCCTTAGGGCTTGTTTCGTTCCTTGGGCTTCTTTTGGGAGTGTGGGCCTCTGAATTGGAGGGGCAGTGCAGCTGGGTTTCTGCAGGTTAATCCATGGGAGGCAGGCAGTGCCAGCTGCAGACCTCTGGGAACAGTGCAAACTGGAGGTGTCCAGCTCCTGCCGCCAGCGTTTCCTTTGGGGGCTTGTCACTATCGACATTGCCCTTGGCTAGCCCTGGAGGAGCCCCTCACAGCAAAATCCAGGCCACTTGCTCCCCTTATCCATGCTCCAGCCCTCTTTAAAGGGTAACAAAGAAACACACCGCCTGAGTTAGCAACCTGGAGACCCCTGCCCCTTATTGTAAAGGAGCTTAAAGCGTCTCTGCAGGGGAAATGGCAGGAGTTGTTCCTGAAGGTCTCTGCCTTCCTTGGGAGGTTTGAAGGTTGCAGAGCCAGCTCTCTGAAGGCTCCTTCCAAGCAGACAACGGCAGGAACTTGGGTTCTCCTGCTTTTACTGAGTGACTTTGGCAGACGAATCCCTGTTACAGGAGAGTTCGCCAAGTGCCTACCTTCTCCACACTCTCCAGATAGGAGAGCGGAGGAGCAGTACCAGCCCAGCGGAGAGCACGGCACAGGAAGGAGTTTCTCCATTTTGCCTGGCATATCTGCTGCAAAAATGTGAGAAAAATGCTTTATTTTTTCTCCTACCAGCACCTGCCACTTCTTAAAAGCACCATGAAATAAAAGACATCTGTGTCTGGAAGTGAACTCCAGGGCGCCTCGGAGAATGTATTTGTTTTTCTAAACCACAGACACTGCAGTTGGAAGTGAGGGCTGGCTGGAGAGGCTGCAGTTGGTGATCGATGTACAGAGACATGGGAGGCCCAATGGACTAGAACTGTCCCCTGGGGAGACCACGGGGTCTCAGGCGTGGACAAGGCTCCTGCTGTTCTCACTTAGCCCTCTCCCAACTCCCACCAGGAGCACATTAGCCAAGGAAGAGGCTGGACAAATTAGCGCCAACCCCAAGCATTTGGCGGCACTTTTCCTCTCGAGTCTGAGGGTTCCTAGCTGGGTCTTTATGATGGCAACCCTTTAAAGAAGAATGGAAAGATAATTTCCAGTAGCTGTCCAATGCACCAGATTTCACAGAATTCCCAGTAGCTGTGCAATGTACCAGATTTCACAGTTTTATCGGGTGAGCTGGTATCATGTAGCTCTGGCTTGCTGAATATGTCCAGTGAAAATGAAGCCACTCCTGGTGGTTTTCTGTCTCTCTGTTCCTGAGTCGGCCTGGTAGCAGGGGTGCCCTGTGTGATCTCGTGGGGCCACACTGGGCCCCCTTCCCTCTGTGGCTGTGTTCACTTCTCAGGTGCTCAGGCCGCCCCTGCCTCTCTCTTCCTCCTGCAGGACGTTCCTTTAAAAGTCCCTGATGTTGAAGAGGCTTCCCTTTCTTCATTCCCAGTTTGATGGGATTCTCCCATTTAATTTCCAAAGGGTGTGGAAATGCCACCCTAAATCCACTTACAGAGAACCCTACCCAGCCATCCCAGAGGATCCACTTACGGAGAACCCTATCCAGCCATCCCAGAGGATCCACTTACGGAGAACCCTATCCAGCCATCCCAGAGGATCCACTTACGGAGAACCCTATCCAGCCATCCCAGCGGATCCACTTACGGAGAACCCTATCCAGCCATCCCAGAGAATCCACTTACAGAGAACCCTATCCAGCCATCCCAGCGGATCCACTTACGGAGAACCCTATCCAGCCATCCCAAAGGATCCACTTACAGAGAACCCTATCCAGCCATCCCAGAGGATCCACTTACGGAGAACCCTATCCAGCCATCCCAGAGGATCCACTTACGGAGAACCCTATCCAGCCATCCCAGAGGATCCACTTACGGAGAACCCTACCCAGCCATCCCAAAGGGAAAGCAGTGGGGCTGGAGGGAAATCCGCAGAAAGGAGGAGGAATGTTTTTGGGCCAGCATCCCATCTGAAGACTGGAGAATCAGGCTAAGCTCATGTGGGATTAAAGACACCATTTTCCCCACACCTTCTTGTCTCTGGTGGAGGCTGCATGACAAAGCCTGGAACACAGCAGGGCTCTATGAAAACGTTTAATTTTCCTTACCTTGGTAATTAAAACACCATGTAGCCTTCCACCGGAGGAGAGTCAGGCCAAAGTCAAGCCTTAATAGCGGTGTGCTGTCCATGTATGTCTACCAGAGGTTTCCTCCCTTATCAGGACTGGACCCCTCATCATATACATATCACATACATCACACACACCGCACACATACCACACACCACACACACACCACACACCACACACACCACACACACACCACATGCATTGCCTGCATTGAAAGATCTGCCTGGGACTGCTTCTGGAAAGGATGTGGGAGCATGTGAATGTGTGTGTGGTGTATGTGATATGCATGTGGTATATGTGGCATGTGTGTGTGGTGTATGTGATGTGTGTGATATATGTGATGTGTGTGGTGTATGTGGTCTGTGTGTGGTGCGTGTAGTATGCGTGTGGTGCTTGTGGCATGTGTGTGGTATATGTGGTGTGTGTGTGCAGTGTATGTGGTATGCATGTGTGGCATGTGTGGTATGCGTGTAGTGTATGTGATATGCATGTAGTGTATATGATATGCGTGTAGTGTTTGTGGTATGTGGTGTGTGGCATGTATGTGGTGTGTGGTATGTGTGTGATATATGTGGTGTGTGTGTGCTGTATGTGGTTTGTGTGTAGTATATGTGATATGCATGTGGTATATGTGGTATGGTGTGTGGTGTGTGTGCTATGCATGTAGTGTATGTGGTATGTGTGTATTGTGTAGTATGTGTGTGGTGTGTGTGATATGTGTGTGGTATATGGGGTATACATGTGTGGTTTATGTGATATGTGTGTATGGTGTATGTGGTCTGTGTGTGGTGTGTGTGGTATGCCTGTGGTGCTTGTGGCATGTGTGTGGTATATGTGGTGTATGTGCAGTGTATGTGGTATGCATGTGTAGCATATATGGTATGTGTGTAGTGTATGTGGTATGTGTGTGTGGTGTATGTGGTTTATAGTGTATGTGATATGCATGTTGTATATGTGGTGTGTGTGTGGTGTGTGTGCTATATGTGGTATGGATGTGTGGTATATGTGGTATGTGTGTGTGGTGTATGTGGTATGCATGTAGTGAATGTGCTATGTGTGTATCGTGTAGTATGTGTGTGGTATGTGTGGTATACATGTATGGTATATGTGGTGTGTGTGTGGTGTATGTGGTTTGTGTGTGTGGTGTATGTGGTATGCATGTAGTGTATGTGGTGTGTGTGTATTGTGTGGTGTGTGTGGTGTGTGGTATGTGTGTGGTATACATGGGTGGTATATGTGGTATGCATGTGGTGTATGTGGTGTATACATATATGTGTGTGACATATGCAGATAGCACTAAGCCATAGGATTTCATCATTAAAATGAAAGAGAGGAGTTTCCCTGCAGCACCTTTTCTTTTATCATGGAGATGCTGTTGTCAAGGGTGGCATCAAGGGAGAGCCCCGCCCTGACCATGCCTGGCCCTCCGACCCTGGCACTCACAGCATCACTGCCCTTTGCTGACGGAGAGGACAGAGAGGCGGGGACCACGTGGGCGTGTTCTGTCCCGC